TAGCATAAGTACAGTGGTGGAAAGCAGGATTTAGTCATTTAGCATCATTAAAAAACTGGTAATGGTTTTCAGAAAAAGTGGTGTTTTTACCAAACACATAATCATAAACTTAACTGAACCACCTGTAAAGAAAGAAGTTGTAGTTTAAAAGATGAACAATTCTGAGTGCATCTTATTCTTGATAAATTTGTCTTTGGGTTATGTTATACCGTCTGATCGTGATGAAACAGTTGAGACAATCAAGACACTGATAGGTCTTCCGTATTTGAAGGAGCTGAAGATTGCTTCAAGACGGAGAAACCTTCTGAAGACAGTAGTGCTCGAGTATCATACACTTAAATAAATTGCGGATCACTGACCTTATCATCTGGGTTATTATGAACTGTATGTGATGCTTATAATTAGGTTTTTGTTACAATTTTAAAAATGTCAGTTATGTATGTCAGTGGAACATCAATAATATACCATTCAGTACAGTTAAAGGATATTTGAAGTGGTGTTATAGCATACTTTCCACACCCTACGGAGCTAAAGAAAACAGCAATGAGGGAGTAATTAGGACAGTGCTGATCTTGAAGGCTTTTTTGCTATGAATGTATTCTTCAGAAAATGGAGCGTGGGCGTACCGTTACAACGACTTAACGTATTGTCCATGTCAGACTCCTCCACCTGTATGACTAACATAGAAAATAGTCCATGTTACAATCTGAGCCCAGACTCACTGCTTAGTGGGGAGGAACATTCTCAAATTCTTCAACCAATGTACTCTTACTTACCAAGTAGACACAGAGAGGAGCTGGGGGGTTTTTTTTTAGAAAATTTGCACTGACAATATACTTGAGGGAAAAATAAACGTGAGCGGATGGAAAATTGTGTACCACATCACAAAGTTGACGGTATATAGTAGTAACTTAAATAAATATCTAAATTTGATCGATGCGATTTAAATTAGTCGGAAAATGATAACAGTGACAGTTCGGAGAGCAGTAAAAGATATATCAACGCCAATTATTAGAAACATGAAATTGGACACTCTATAACTTAAAATGTAACTCAGTTGATGGTTATTTATTGAACTTGGAAGATTAAAATCCTATAAACATCTGAACATTGAGTCACAATTAGCCAAGTTAATAGTATTGAAGTGTCATTGTGGACAAATTGGTTATTACGTTAACGAGACAAAAAGATGAAATACACGTCAAAATACATTGTAGATAGAATTTCATAACGCTCAGGTAAAACGATTTGCGGGGGTTTCTCAATATTGTTAATTTGAAGAGACCTCTTGAACTGAATAGAGTTTTACACCCTACCTTTCAGTTTTTGGTGTTATCAAACCTTTACGAACCGCAAAAATGGAATAAAGAAGTGCGTCTTTAAATGTCATTAAGACCGAACTCGGTCAGTAGAAAAACGTGACTCGCCCGTTGTGTAAACAATTTCCTTGTTTCTTGTCGATGTAACTTAAAGATGATCCGATTTGTAGATTTGTCCACGTACGATTTGCACGTTTGACTAGTACATTTCCAATCGCGAAAAGTCGCAGTTCGGTGTGACGGGGCTACAAGATATTAAGGCGTATTAATTAATTAATCATACCTTCAGAGATCCTACGTGTTTTGTATTAATATTGTGTTTTATAACTGAAGTACCAACTAACACAATCCTTTATTGAACGGTTAAAAGCCACACAAGAGCTCTCAGTTCTCCTGAAACGAACAGAATATTAAAATAACATAAACACCTAGAGGGCCGATTCGTAAAATTAAAAAGAAATACTATTGAAGGGTTTAAAAGGATAAAGATGATTATGTCCTGTTTTCTGATTCAGCGACAGTTTGATTTTTAACACATTTAGACTGGAAACTGGCTTCCTGCCTGATAGTCACGAACTGATTTAGTGAGTTTTTTGTATGAATAAAAGTTCAAATTTAATGTCGAACTTCTACAAGCGACAAAATGTTCATTTGATGTTGTCCAAAACAATTATATCTCTAGGAGACAAAAACTGAACGCTAGGTGATAAGTTTAAGAGCTTTTGAAGAAACAATAAGATTATTAATGGTCATTAAAATCAAAAAGAAGATAATTCTGTAAATCCAGTACGATAATAAATTGTTTCTTACTTTATGAATTGAAGTCTTAATAACACTTGAAACGTCCCTATGACATCGTGGATTTGTGGTAAAAATTGTAAGGGCAGTTCTACGCCAAACTTTCGAAATGTGTTTTTGATGCCCTGTGCAATAATTGTACTTTCTAGATTTTCAACTTACCATGCACAACCTGTATCTTTCCAATCCGATTATACACATGGTATCTTGGCCAACGTCATGATCGACCCCTAAATTATTTGGATATCAAGCCACTCGGGCTCCAAAGCATGTTACGGGCTGTGTGTTTATGTTTTATTTTTTATTTGAAAGACAAACAGCAACATAAACCGAATAGTGTATATTATATGGGATTCTAGATGGAATTAAAGGCTTCTCAAGCGGGTAAAGCATTCCGGATGTCATCTGTCATGAAGTTTGTAATTTTGTTTCCGGGATCAGAATAATGCATTGAGTTATTATAATCTTTCCAGTCAGGTTAATTTCAAATTTCTCTAATGTACTTTCAATCAATGTTGTGACTGTCGCAATGTGTGAGTTATTTGTGCTGAATATGAATGTAAGCACAAATGCTTTAAACCTCTTTGATTTACTGTTCGCAGCAACTAATTTATTACCTGAAAATGAGAAATGCCAAACCATCCAACGGCGATATCCGGATCATTAGAACAAGGTCTAATATCTAATGATTTCGAACCATGTTCGGATCAAGTTAAGTTCTTTGGTTACTTAATTAATTTGCAATAAATTGGCGATAGTCGCCCTTGCGATGAAAATAAGTTTACGACTTTTTAATGGTGACAATTACTTAAAACAATAGTCTAAATTGTGAGTTATTTGTTTGGCAATTTTACTAATTTATAATAATAATAAAGAAACGCGAGTCATTCATACATAAAACTCATAATTACATTAAAGGTAATTTTCCTGTTAATTGCTTGAACAAAGGTCTTTTCATACCTTTGCATTACAATCCAATTCTTTACTTATGAAATATGCCTTGCATGACATGTTAATTCTATTAAACTGATTGGGCTATTGATGAAGGATAACACAATTTAATGTGGGAACTTGGCCAGAACAGAGATATAAGCCTACTCTATTTCTCAACCCGTTGCATATGGCTTATTGTCCCATATTCCAACGACCAGATGATTTTTCATGTCAGTTCTTCTGGCCTGAATAAATCGAGGGCAATATCCCCCATGCCAGTTGCACATTACTAATAGATGAGGTCCCGGGGTTTCATTTCAGTATGGATCTGTTAAGGGACTGTCAAAGGACTGATTTAGGTTGACTAAACCAAACAGTTGATGAAGTTGTGCCAGATTCCCACAGTTGGTGACAGTTGGCAATTGTTGAAAACCCACTGGAACCTAGATTCAATCTCGACCTGAGCCCTCTCTTGACGAACTTGATTTTGTGATGCATACAACTAAAATATAAAAATATATCCAATAACCATTTGGCATTATATGATGATGTGCCATCAGTTGGTAGCAGTGGTTAAAAACTCGGCAGCTCTCAGATCGTCCCATGGTCGACGAATTCTGCTTTGCGATGTCAAAGTGTCACTGGACAATAATCATTGCTTACTTAGTTCAGAATTCTCAAATAACGAGTAAGATAGTTTTGTTGGATAGTATCATTTTACCTCATGCACATCGGTTCTTTAGGCAGTGATTTCATACCTCCCGGAAGAGTTCTTCCAAATCTATCCATCCCCTAAATAAATCGGGCGTTTCTGAATCCGCACTCCACCAAATATGTGGTAGGAAATGGCAGCGGTTTATGCTTTATTTCATCAAATTTTTAAATCTCAAAAATGAAAATGGTTAATAGTAAAGAACCGAATATAAAGTTCAATTAAAACCCATATTTAAAAAAAAAAACCATGATGAGGTGTTGTCACGGTGATTTTTGTCAATTACAAAGTGACTTGCTAATTTTGATCTAGGTTATACGAAATGGGTCAAAAAGCCATGCAATAACATCCCAAATGCGATTGACGTATAAAGTTATTATAAATAAATTGCTGTTAATTTGATGCGTCAATTAACTGCACTTTGTGACGAGCATCGCTTGAAAATGACCACATGACCACAAGGAGTCGACTTTCCATGACTTCAATCACAATGGGCAACTTCAATTTGCAATCGGTAGCAGTTCCCAATTACAGCAGACCGAAACAAATATGACAATTTTCATCTATAGTACGTCAATGGGATAATATGGAGAATGGTTTATGTAACATAGGAGTTTTTACCTTTTCTTTATATTACCCCTTCATGGATCCCTTGCATTAGCCAATTCATCCTATAAATTTTTAACTATTTTGCGATTTTCTCCTTCAATTTCCTTGCAATCTTTTTTATGTCGAAGAATGTAGCTTGACTGAATTAAAGGTTGTAAAATCTTATTGCTAAAAACTTCAAAGCTAGACGACAAAGCGCCTCAGAACACGCCAAAATTTAAAAAATTACCCCCTCCCAGGTTGAGAAACCCCTGATGTAACACACCCACCTTCCTTTAACATTCACAGCAGCCATCCTTTAATGAAATAATTACTAATGTATTTATTGGCAATGTTGTTAATAGGATTAAAAACAAAGTAAACTATATCCATTATTGTATGCTTTTATTTAGTATTGTCATATTAGATGAAAAGAGAGAAACGCCTCTCAGTTCGTAGTAGAATGGAAGTTCTCTTTCAAATCACAGTCAATAATTAATTCATCAGTTTTTACGGGAATACAGTGTTTCTCGCGATCTGTAATCCAAGACATAAAAACTCGACCACGCTTTCTGTCCTCTCTTTTCATTATAAAAGTTGTCAGAGTTAAGATTGGAAACGGATTGACTTCACAGCTTTGAAACGACACAATGTGGATTTACCTTGCAACAACTTCTTTGTTTCTTTTATGTAAGGTTTGTGCAATAAACGGTGCTGCCATATATGATGCCGGTTCCATAAATCAGAACTTTCAGGTAACTTTTTTTTTCATAATTTCAATGTTAATGTTTAAATATTTTTGTAAGGGAATAGAAAAAGTTTGTCTTGTTATTGGTATCGTACTTATGTAATCATTCAAGGTGTTAAGGGTTATTATGTTGTCGGTGATCAATCTTAAGAGTTTTTAGGAACTACAAAAGAATCCAATCGATCTATTTGCTTGTTGTTTTTTTTTTTTTTTTTTTTTTTGGGGGGGGTGGGGGGGGGGTGTTTGGTCTAACTGAACATTATACGTTTTTTTTTTTGTTTTTTTTTGCTTTTTTTCGCACTACTATATTTTATTCTCTGATTTAACGTTAATCGTATAATGACATTGGTTCTAAAACCATAGTACACGTTGTAATTTGATATTATTTGTTATCAAATATCTATATAGATATATTCAGTTGTTATTTATCACACAATTCTGTTTTATTTCAATTGTCAAATCATGAAAATTGGCATAATAAATAATCAGTTAAGTCGCTAGTGGGTTCCTTAATAGATATGGACAATTGTTAATTCTCGACACAATAAGTTACAAAGCTGTCATTTGAATCCTGCTGATATGTATAGTTCGCACTGGGAAACGTCGTTATTTTGAGTTCTAGAGATCGATACACGTAATTTGAATTATTGCGTATGTTGGGTGATTAGTCGCGATGAGATTTGCATAAGTTCATCAGTAAAAAATCAGTTGATTTAATTTTTATTAAAAGATTAAGGTTGATTCGCCGATTTTTTTTAATCGCAATATGGAAGCATTCGAAATTATTTCCTGATTGGACTTTTGTTTGCCAATATAAAGAGTCGGTATCTGGCAAAGTTCACCCGAATTTGAAGGACTGATATGCGTTTAATCGTTTAGATTTGGCCACTATTCCGAGACCTCGGTGCACGTTGCAGCTGCTTTTCTTACAAAAAGTTCTAGATCGCTGCGTTTCCAGTCTTCAATATCCCATTTTGGAAGAGAAAAGGTACATAAATTAGATCAAATATTTGATATCGTTTTATTGTTTCTATAATCGTTACTTCTCAATTTTAAAAAAATATGGTTTATGCGGACAAAAAGTCAAATACATTTCATGAAGTAGGACAGTAAATAACTAAAAAGTACTATTCACACAGCAAAGTAAATATAAAGCTTTTAAGCTGCTTTAACTTTCAAGTGGATTTGTTTGGAAGTAAAAAATCGTCTTGAGATTCTACACATGGAGAACTACTCAATACATCACCATTAAGATTAAGTTTGTTTCTTATCCATACTTTTTGACCTCTTCAGTTTTTTAGTCCTTTTAAATATGATGAAATGATATTGAGCTTTAATGAGTTGAACACGGTTTGTAATTCCTTAGAACGTTTTTCAAATTAAGTAACACAGCTATTCCTTCAAACTTCGTTGCAGATAGCGATGGGAGAAACTTGCAAGAGTGTATTTCGTCCGATTAGGACGATAATTTGATGCTTCGACTGTCACAGACTCTGTTCAACAAAGAATATACAAGATTTATGTCGCTTCCATAAAACAGTGCATGACACTTCATTTTCTTCATTGGATCAATCAACACAAAATCCACGGACGCCTGTCTGCATCTTATTTCATTAAATACCCTCGTCTCACAGCACTCCGACCATTTGCGAGCTTGTGCCAACAGAAAATTGAGAGTTCGCGGTCAAACGTGAGAAAACAAGAGAAAAGCCCCTTAAATGTTACAAACTTAAAATTAGTTGACCTCATATGCTACTATATTGCGTAAACGCCATGACTCGGCAAATACTGGCGACAGTTGTACGATTTTCGCTCTGGGCCAATTATCCGTCACAAAAGAAGCCAGTAAAATATACTTCATATACTTCCTAGGAGGAAGAAGCATTCGATACCCCAAAATCGTAAAAAAATGTCGTAACACTCGCCATTCTTGAGCAGTAGGGTTTCTAACTAAAGACACGACATTGTATAAGCGACATAATAACTGGCACATATAAAACTTGGACTATGCACGTTGAATTTGAGCTTGTCGTTAACTTTCCCAACATTTTAGTAACCCATGGGCAACAATTTGAAAACCAAGCTAACACAGTTACGGCAACAAATACTATACAATACATATGTTTGGATGCTGAAAGCATTGTACCTTTGTGAATGCATGATTGTTAGATTGTCTTCACCTTACGTGTTTCGTGATAATTATACGATATCCTGTGCGGCTGATGAAATCATTCAGGTGGACTAGATTACACGTAAAGAGTGTCTCGTCATTCACCAAACATCCATTAGCAATATGCATCCACCCTGAAATTACCTTAATGGAAGTATTCGGAAGTGACAAGAAATATGTGTCTTGGCAGTGGTAGACGTCGATTATAACGGTGGAACTCTTCAATTGTCGTAATTACAAAAGTACTTAACACGACACCTATTAGAACTCTTGTTTTCTGACAGACCGAACCATAACAAACCCTCTGAAGTACTTAAATCTGCCTTGCCTTTGTTTTTTTCTAATTATCATATTAATGTCAGTCGACTTTTTATCGTCTCTTGCGACCAACTGCAGTCACCGCTTTGTTGAAATGAGTACGTACTACTGACCTCAAACTCTTAAGTGGCGGGATCAGCAGACAAGGCACGACAGGACGTCTTTCGATGATATGCCGGATATTTCTGTTCCCGGATCACTTTCGATTTTGTCAACCCACAAAGATCACGGTAATATTATCTTTTCACATCTCCAGCACATGATGGTTGGATTTTGATCTCATCAAGCTTGAACAGAAATCACAAGACATTAACTATTATTTAATCAATCCCTTCTTTCTAATTGTAGGAAGGTCTAAATGAACCTTTGGAAACACCACTACCACGAGTGCCTTCACCACACATCATAGACGATGCTTTTTCATCATTGAATAAATGGCGCAACTCAGACGACTTATCAAAACAGAAAATTCTGTCCTCGTTTTTGAAAGAAATACCGGTTCTAACTAATGGCTACGCCATAAACCAATATCCACTCAGTAAACGCCATCCAAATTTTGGTTTTATGGGCAGTAGAGGAAAGAGAACCCAAGATGATATTGGTGCAAGTGACTTTTTGAATACTATTCGACCTGGATTTAGACGAGCATTAGAAACATTACGAAGTCAACAGATGCAGGGACTTTCTCCAGGTTAGTAACCCATTATTCAAAGAAGAGGGAAATGCTATTATTCTTATAAATACCAATAAATAATAATGCATTTCTGATTTTGTAACCCCTTTCCCTCGTCCGTGATGCTCAAATTAACTGTCGTAGTATGTTAACGTGCTGGACTAAGTGTGACGCTTCTGTGGCCCCGTTACTATACAATGCATTGATTACTTCCTCTTTTGACATTAGTGAACAAAACAAGAATAATTTAAGAATGTTTTCTATTATATTTATAAAAACCTATATCCAAGGAGGGACTTGTTTTTTTCCCATTCTTTGTATTTGGAAGCTGGAGCATACAATCTTTCAATAAGTAATTATTTTAGTGGAGCAAATTATAAAAAATAATAAAAAATCTTCTGTTAATACGCCTGGGAATTTAATTAGGTTGTTCGTACAAAAAGCAACTTCTATTAGTTCTTAGCTGTTATTATTGAAAAACCGCACCTATTAACAATCGGCTTATTTCTATCAAATTCATTGTCCTATAATGGTATATATTTTTCTATGAAATTTTGCTTCCTGTTATACAATAAAGACAGACGCAAAGTATGGGGTGACTCCGTATTACAAAGGAGTCGACGCCTTTTTATCATGTAAATTTACATGTGCAAGAAGAAACTCTTTCATGACCCTGTGTCATAAAATACTAAGTATACCTTACATATCCAGATAAGATGCAAGGCCTGTGAGTTTCTGCATAAAGCATCAGGAAGTCGAATTCCCCCTTCCCTTAATCGTTTTATTTGATCAAGCTAAGATTGTCCCAGGGCAGCGGTTTTAGTAGTTGAGCCTTATCATAAAAAGCTTTACTACTCAAGGTTCAGTATCTATTTTCGAACGCCTATAAATCATCTCGCATGGCACTTTATCCAAAAAGCGTTTCTGATAAAGGGAGTCCCAAACCCGAGATCCTGCCTAACAAGATCGTACACAAAGCCAAAACAACCCCATATTTCAAAATAAATCTTGCACGTTTTGTCATTTCAGAACTGTCAAATAGTAAACGTCAACCTGCATTCGGATTCCATGCTGTACGGGGATAAAAAGTAAGTATGATTTAAATACATTATTTTTCGACAGCTATGCACTTGGTTGTCAGCAAGATTTAACTGGTTAGATTTATTACTTAACCAACCGGAATTGAAGCCTTTATAGACAACATAATAATATAGTCTTGCGTCTAAAACCAAATACGCAATGCCTTTTCAATGTCTTTCCAAAATTAAACTAGAAAAGTACGGTTCATACACAGCAATATATACCAATTATGATTTTGCCTGATCTTCATAATCATCTTGTGTGATGAAAGAGAGTTTTACATATAACATTTTTGCCAAGGACTACTCCATGTGATGAAGCCATTCAAATTATTTCCATCGAGGGATCTTTAACGTACATACCTATAGCACACGGAGCTTTGTGTTGTGTACCTAAATGAGTTGTGAGTTTTCTCTGATTATCTTTTGTCAATTACCTTGGGCGATTCGCTTAATATCATGACAGAAACATTTCGAATAAGTTTTTAGCTAATTTAGGTTTCAAAACGTTCAGGGTCTTTAACACTTCTTGTGGATATACCACACTGTGGAAATAATAAAATACCAAATTGCTACAATTTGCTGGTACTTAATATTTAATATTCATTTAGATAACATTTAATATCGACCAGGATTATTAAAACTTGCTGAAGGCAAAAAGGTCTAAAAAAAAATCCCTCCAATGAAACAGAGCTGAGCATGTTTTTACGAGATTATTGGTAATAATACAGCTATTATTGTTCAAGGAAGTAAACTGATACAAAATCCCTGAATTGTCCAACCTTGCCAGAGATGACAATACTCGTATCGATCAATAATTAATGCTCTGGCAAGCAATATATTATATTATATTTTGACCGATACCATAAAATCTAAGCCTGCAAATGCCAGATTGTATGCCATGGCGGTGGTGGCATAGCACACATCTTCTCGATTCCCAACAGTCACGAAATATGTGAACAGCCTCTAGCTCCAAAGGATTGGACGACCTGCATCACCATCAGAATTATGTTTTACTTTTATTAACATCACTTGAAAATGGACAATCATTAAAGATCAAAGTTAAAAACATAAAAATATATCAAAGAAAAATAAGCAGCGACAGTGACACAGAAAAAACCTTGCAGTAGATTTTAGAACCCGCGACCACCATTTTTTCGACGTTATCAAGCATTTTACTCCATGTAAGGTTTCAAACGCTCTAGGAACTGTGCTACAGAAGCGAACTCCCTTTTAGCTTTGATTATCGTGATGGAGTTCGAAAGGGTGCCTAAAGACGTTCAAAAAAGTTCAAACCCAAAAAGCCAAACCAAATTCTAATTGAATGAAAACTGATGAACACACATAATGCTAGGATGTTGGAGAGAAAGAAAACAAATATATTAGGTTACTATAACATAAAATAGGTCTTTAACAAGTGGTGATTAAATATCAAAATTAATTGAAATCTGAAACGTGTCAATTATGCACATCGCGTGCATCTAGAAAATTTCGAAGGTTTCAGAAGACCTTCAAGTTCATGTTCGCTCTAGTGATCCTATGAAATGCATGTGACATTTTTTGTAAAAATAAAAAAAACTGTTTTATATCCGTCACTTTATACCTTATTGTAATATATGGATTTAAATAATTATATCTTTCGGCCATTTACTGTGCGATATTTAGCCCAACAATTAAAAATTATGACATCAGTTGAACGACGTTCAGTGTTCATGTCAGTGTTTGAATATGCGTGTAGAGACCAAACAAGTACGAAGAAAATTTATTCCTTTTTTGACAATTTTTGCAATCTGTTGCAATGTGATTTTCGTAAGATGGTGGTAAAAAAAAATTCATTTCGCATTGGTTTCTTCCTCACTTATGATAAATATACTTCCTCGTATGAAAAGTTCATAAGCTGCTACCATTATTTCGCCAACATGTTGTTTGGATTTCGGCTTTCGTTTCGCGGTTCGGTTCGTTCGTACTTGGTTTATTAATTCCAACTGATATTTGAAGTAAATTAATATTCATGGCATAACAACCACTTACTCCACTTAGATTTTTCCGCAACTTAAATATAGTATTTTTCAGTCGAACGTTTGTGATTTTGAAGTTTGTCTTCGAAGTGAAATCAGACTTATTTACCCGCGCCCCATACACATACAAATGCTTGAGAAAATCATAGGATACGTATAATAGTACACCTTACTGTAAACAAATATATGTTCTGTCTGAATACATAAAATGTCTTCCGGGATGATTTATCTATCAGGAAGCGTCTGTTGTGCAATCTAACAGTCTAATTTTGGATCTTTGTCTGGGGTTTAAGTCAGAATTCGCAGATCACTTTACTGAAAAAAGAAGCCTTATTTTTATTTATACGAGGTATTATTACTGTTAATGTATATTCTTAAAATAGTGTTAATCGATGCCACAAGTTCAAATATTGACCAAAAGTATATCAGATTTTCTTTGTTGTGTTTATATTTCCCTGCCAAGATTGAGATATTAAGATCGTGTCTTTGATGCACGCTATAAGATATCCGTAAATGTAGAAGTATTCGCCATTTTATATAACTTTTATAATCACTAATCACAATTCTTATAATAACGTATACAATGTTGTACATTTTTGGTTTACATAATAACTAACGCGCACTCCTTCCGTCCTGGACCCATTTTGGGGCTATAAACTGCGTATTGTACACGCATGCACACAATATTAAGTGATCCGAATTTATGAATATCGAAAAATAGCTAGTGATTTTGTGCTGGTTGAATGTGAAGTAGTGTAGTGTGACGTGTAGACCATTCCTTCATCAAGTCAAGCTTTTGCAATTGCATGTATTCGTTAGGTTCTAGCATTAAAGGCACAATCATGTAATAACAAGCGAGCACATTATTCTAAGATTTACTACTTAATGACAAAAGGTCTACAACGACGCCTGTCTTCGCAGTTAGATGTAAATTTATTTTGATATGGTCAAGTCGGTATGACCGATCTCATTATTCAGTGGCACAAGTAAATCTGGAAACTCTATAACCTAACTTGAAAGCGGATTACAATGCTAATAGCCAGCCTAAGATTTTATCCAATTAATGAGACAAATCCCCAGGAGCTTGTCAACGCTTTTTAATTAGTCAAATTGTATATTCTTAGTCATAGGGAATTTATAGTACGATTGAGATTTGACGAAGTATTAAAGGGACAGATTCGCCATTTTCGGGAATGATCTGGGTCTTGAATATTTCCTTCTAAAATACCTCAAACTAGGAATTTCATTTTCTATTTCTATATATGGCAGGGTCTCAAGAAAAGACGAGTTGTCTTTTTAACTTTCAAAAGCCGATAATTCAGGCCACACATATGGAATTGAAAGCTTAGCTAAAAAGAATTCTCGTTTCTGAGAGTAAGGTATTATTGGTCTGTCACTTGGGTTCATGATGTCAAAATCCGGAGAAATATGTTGTTATCAGAAACTATATATAGCATGAAGCATCCGCATGCACTGTGGTATGCGACTTCAACAAAGTTGATAGATGTCTTATTTGGCCCCCTGTTTTGGAACTGACGGTTTCAGGTTTCGTGGTTGATTCGGATACATTGGGTCACAAAATCGAGCTTAATGATAGCAATAATTGAAAGAAACCCTGGTTTGCATCACATAGTTAGATGGTGCCAGTAGTTCAGAACTATTCGGGCTATATGGTGATGTCCATTCAGTCGTATCGTGCAGATACGATACACTGTTAAAACGCTCTAGGCCTTAGACAACAGATACCATAAAATGTTTCGTTAATTTTGAAGGTTGGTTTGACGGTATTGAATCACATGATAATAATTGCTTCAAATAGACACAAGTATTCCCGGATATTCAGCTCTAGGTTATGTTCATTTACTAGACTAGATTGACTAAACCTCATTAGCCTACTCGAATAATTTTAATGATCATCAGAAACGTCCATTCATCCTGCCAATTGATGTCTTTAAATTGGTCATGTTGCGAGTCACGGTGCTTTATTTATTGATAGTTGTAGAATTAACAATTTCACAGATGACCGTGTACGATTTTGTTACTTAATATCAGTTTTAAACGCCCTCAAGTTGTACGAGCATATTTGATGTTGAATTGATGACAGAGGAACCACTAAAATTTTACTTCATTACTTAAAGTGCGGGGAAACAAACAGTCTTGATTGGAGATTTTTTCGCCGGCTAGCTTGCTTGAACCCGTACTTGCACTACAAGATTACCGTGTTGCCGACAGGATTTATAAAACCAAACAAGTTTGTCTCCGTTAGTTTTATCGTCTGAAAGACAGAGGTCATCATCCAATCAGATTCATTTTCCTTTCAATTGCATGCTCCGCACGTGATTATCGACATGGTAGAGAACGTAAATTGTGGCAGGTTTTCTCTCTCCAGTCAGTTTATGTACTTTTATTTCTATTTTCAGGTCGTGTGTTTATGAAAACCTTGGTGTAAATAGTTAAATCCTGATAAATAAACATTTCTAGAAAATAGAAAAACCATATTAATGCGGTTATTTCACTTAATTTATTGGATTTCAGTGGAAAACTGTTTTCTGATAATTTGTTTATATTGGCGCCATACGAAATTAAATTGGCTTAAAATGTCACTGTATCCGTACAATTGAATGTAGTGTAAAATTTGGAAGATGCCGAAATCAATCGATGTTCTACGACTAATTGAGACGAAAATGATACTGCACTGAAAATGGTCTGATAGAATGGTAAACTTCTCAATAATCAAAGCCAATACCTAAAAAAAGCCAAGTGAAAAAAAATCGTGTATTATTAGATACTTTTTTGACATAGAATTTTAAATACTTTATGAATTAATAAAAGTCTTTGTCTTATAAATGCAATATTGTTATTTGATGTGCGTTTAGGTATAGTAGCTAACATTGAAGAAGGTCGATAACGGCCGAGAAATATGACAAATACCTTCAGTAGTCGTGTATTATCGTGTTCTTGTGAACAACTATCCAATTTAAATATTTCTTTTAATGTCTTTCAATAAAATAAATGAAAATTGATACCGGGCCCTTTCTTTGGCTATGACTATCGCTCATTTAATTATGAAACCAACTACACTTGTGGAAGATGTCCATTCCTCCCTTTGTCGTGTATTTGTCATCTTAGCTTGTGACATATCGCCTAAAATTTACAAGAAAATGCTATTGTAAGGCTGATAACATTTCCTTATTGAAAATTGAAATGTGTTATTCTGCTCTTGTTTTGTCTAATAAAAATGAGCAAAGCTTTGCAATGTAATATCAATTAATACCCTTGAACGTCAGCCCAAAGAGTCACGCATGGCAAAAATAGCTAATCGGGTTTCATGGCGCATGTTCTTCGATCCATAAGAGACGTCTATCCACAACGAAGCCGTGAGCGCTTTTAATCTACAGATTTTATCCTACAACTTTCAATGAGTTACCTTATACCTTGATCACAGTAAAAGTATGGCCAAACGAGTATCAACTGGGATTGGTATCAACCGTTTAAAATTTTTAAGATCATAAGATGGGCGCTCCGGAACTTCATGTCTGTTAAAAAAAAATACATACTTGTCAGCCCGCTTTTCGATAAACCAAATGAATAAATATCGTTGGCTACGAAATATATGGTCGAAGCGTAAGATTATGACGTTTAATGGCATAGTGTGTAGTTCAAGATCTCAATATTGGTTAATCGCCTGGCCAATCCTATTTTCAAACAACTCAACGAGGATTGTGAGGTGCTTATCTAAACTCTTTTTGTGGAGCCATTTATGAATTATCTTTGCATTTTTTCTAATTTCTTCAAATGTGTGTGCTGTCTGTAAAATAAGATAAAGCAGATAATATCCTTGTCGCAAAAGCTAGAAATAATATATCAGCAGCTCTTGCCGATAGTGACGTCATAAAATACTTGGTTTATGTGACCCATTTTTGAAAATGGAATGGTGCAAATCGATGTTATCCCCAAAACACATAAAAGGTTTAGAAAATCTCGTTGTAAATACCTTCAAAAGAAGAATTGATTTACAAAGTTCGCGTTTCACGCTTTTGCTATTGGTATAATTCCATTCCCTAATTAATGTTTTATGCTACCCTTTATTTTTGTAAAGCCGGTTCTTGGTCCTTTTCACCAATCCTAGGAATTCAGTCCATGTACAGCAATTCCAATGCAGAGAGCTTTACCATGTATGTAAATGGGGTATGGTATGGGATTCCCTAAAGCCCTTCGAGGATCTATTTAATGATGTATATATATATATAAATGTACATTATAATCATGTTTATTGAAAAATGAAAAATATTCAAGAAAAATCATATATCGATGATTCGACACGATGTATATCTAGTTCCTACTCATGTTTCGTTATGTTCAAACTCTTGGGTATTTACAATGCGTTTTTCATGTGGTTCCGGTTCTTCTGGCTGTTGGATTCTCATCAAGGGTATTTCATCATGGACAGATTGCATGGCTGCTGTGTTGCTCAGGGACAACTTTATTTGACATATTACTCTACGTGCAATAATTGAACCAAACTGATCTTCTATGTCCCTTAAGATAAGCAAGGTATCTGCCGAAGTCTGTTGCGCGTCTGTCATGATCGAACCATACGCGAATTCTTTCATTGGGGGAACTATCAAGGAAGCAAATTGCGCAATTGTTACAATCAACGTCAATACCCCAAGTATGAGAATCCAATACCAGTATAAGTTAAAGAACGTCTCATAGAGGTAATGTATAGGCATATCACATTGCATTACATAATAATGAACATTTGAAAGTTGTTTAATTTCAAAGACACAATGAACTGTTTTCGGGAAAATGAAATATGGGGTTTTCTCCATGGTCACATTTTCATTAAACCCAGATGCGTTGCGGATTGTAGTTGTTTCGGTTATAGTGGTCTCTTGAAAATAAGTGGTAACAAACACAAACTGTATAAATAGGTTCAATACAATCAATGTCTTAACTGTGAATAAAACTATAAAACGAAGGTTGCTTCTCTGTACGATTGACTCCTGAACCATGAGGACCAGGTGCTTTAATTCCTGACGATGGAGATTCCGAGAATTTGAAATATCTGTTATTATTTTCAACAATTGGGGAATTTTGAATCCAACGAGCAGTATCAACAATATAGAAACGACAGGCACGTCAACAACATTTGATTTCCTCGATGCGGACATGTTCATCACTTTTTGATTTTCAGTCTCCCCACAGATTCGATGAGTATATGCAACATGTGCTGCTTCAAATTGAGATGGAGTCCAGCATGTTATGGACAATGTTGGGAAAACATACCTTAGAATACCGAAACAAGAAATAAAAACCACCAAAATTGTGCAGGTCCAGAAAAAATTGAGACTTTCGATGAAGTCGTCTGATTTGTGTTGTCTTTTTCCTTTCATTTTGAGATTATAGCATCTAAAAGTAAAAAAATGGCATATTTCACCAAGCAATGAAATTGGACATTTAAGAACAATAGGCAAAGACGGGATCTATTTGTTCAATGTCCAATTGTTGACAGAGCATTCCGAGTCTCGGTTCATTGTGCCATCAGTGACAACATTCCAGAATGTATTGGGTTTCTTAATCACCCTCAACTCGACAGTAATTGACACACGAGTAAATGTTATATCCACATATATATTGTCTTATTTGGGCTTTAAGAATAAATATCACTAAAGTTTAAAAAAAGAAAAATAAATCCAAAATCTTGTTATAAACATGACTGACCTGTTGAATTGTCTGCAGAGAAGTGAAATATTTGGAAGGGTATACCAGCATTTAGCACAAATAATAAGTCAATTAATACAATTAAAGTAAATGTCAACAACATAATTATTTTATATCCATTCATTCATTTGTTATTAATATTAGAAATTCTATGTCAAATGTATTCCTTTATATTAGATTACAAGAGGGTATCAAATAGGACCTCCAACACACAATACTCCATCAGATCCGGTATGTCGCAGCCTGCTTGGCTGGGTTCTGTTCTGAGATCAATGTCCTTTTGCCATGTCAAATCCTGTCGACCTCTCCTCCTAGTTCCTTGGGGGTTCCAGTCCAAGCAATGACTGGCACGTTGGGTAGGTCCTTTCTATGCATGTGTCCAATCCACCCCACTTTCTTTTTGCTTATTACATCGGTGGTGTTGCAGCCAACTATGACGTATTTCTGTACGCCAACATGAAATATGAAACGTAGGCTACATTGGCGTTCCCCATGCTTATCAACACTCCAGAATGAGTTATTGCCCTTGATTTGGTGATTTCATTGTTGCCGTCATCGACTTTTTAACTGCACTCCGAGTAATCTCCGAGTAATAACTTTTATTTAATTGTGTTTCATGTCAGTGGTTAGCTCAGTTGTAACAAAATAATAGCCTAGCAATGCGGTGAGATTCATTCAAAATCTTAAGCTATGTTAGCTTCTTGCTATTTTTTTTTAGCTTAGTTATACATAATAGTAGTCTACTATCTTACACTAGTATTTTACTTCTCTCTTTATTGGTAAACCATTTCTCTATGGACTAACAAGGAGTTGGCAAACTCTTGCTACCCTTATTTTTCATGAAAGGAACTGCACATGGGAACTTTTTTTCATGTAGGCTAGGCCTGGAGCTTAGAGCCTACGTGTTTATGGTCTCTAGGATCAGAATAAGAACAATAGCCTATTTGGTGTTTTGAAATACCAGTCAAGATTGTAGACAGTTAATATCTGTCATTAAAGTTTTATTGGTAATGCTTTCTATCTGGTTCCCCACATTTTCATTTTGTGTACAGACTACAGGTAGGGAACTTGGAGAAACAAAGATGTGTGTTCAGAAGAGTTTTTTTTTGTTGTAGTCAGTTTTCATTCCGAGTTACCTCCCTTCAATTGAGTCATCACGTGTTCAATATCACGCGATTCTCATTCACCTCGAAACCTTTATCACTTCCTCTGTCAAAATCTGTGTCTTTGGAGACATTTTATCGAAATCTTCAAAGATGTCACGATTTATTGAGCAGCTATTATTTACAGCTTTTATTTTATCTTGTTTGTTTACTGTAGTAATCTCTGTTGTACCAAAATATAAACAATGTGGTGAGTTTTATTCTACAGACTATTAGTAAATTGTTATGGCTTAGAAACTGATCGTTTGATACTCTCCTTTTTGGCAAACCCTTTCTCATCTAGGGTTAAGTTAGGCCTAAACTCTGGCCATTGGCACCCTTATAGTAGACTAATTGTGTCTTCATTCATTTGCTAAGGTGAAGGATTGATCTTTTATGCCAAATTAGTAAATTTATGTCCAAGAACTATTTGTTATCCTTAGCAAGTAAGTGGGAATTTGGCTGAGCTGAAGCCGAAGGCATATTATGAAATTGATAGTTGGCCAATACTAATGTAGGCCCTGTTTTTAAATATCTAAATTGTTTTATGTTATTGTATGTTATGTTGTAGATGGTTCAATGAAAGGAAAAATTGTGTCTGTAGATATATCAGTCAAATGTGACAGCTCAATTTGTTATCTTGTTAAAGGCAAGGGTGTGGTCTTGAGTGTGAAATTTGCTCCTAGTAAGTATTGGTTATGCATTTCTGGGCTAAGACATCAATATTAGTTAACGTGAAAAAGAATTGAGACTAAAACTTTCAAGACATGATACAGTCGCCATAAAGCATGTCCTTAATACTAGTATTTTACCTTCAAACGAAATTCAACCTTAGCCAAAATCAGTTCGGACAAACTCGTTCCACTTCAGACCTATTTATCATCAAAACTCATCAAAGAATAAGCTACATTTGTGCTACTGTAAGAACCCAAAGTCCATAACATAACTTTGATTGGGTATAAATTTACAATTGATCTTCCAGGTGAAATGGTGAATGCTTCAACAGCTGTAGTTGAAGGAAAATTGGGTCCATTAAAGGTTCCATTCCCTCTACCAAATCCAAATGGGTGTGAAAACAGTGGTTTAACTTGTCCTTTAAAACCTGGAGTTACAGTTCAATATCAATCTTCTATATCAATCAAGAAAAGCTATCCTGATGTAAGTTGATTCTAGTTCAATTATGTCAAGGTATTGGTACTACCTTGATAATGTTTGAGTGGCTATGGAAAACATGGCTTAAAAAGGTGACCAAAAATAATTGAAAAATTGATACAGCTTTAGAATTGAGTAAGCCTGTTTTGAAAGCCTTTATGTGACAATTTTCATTATAGAGACAGGTGCCCCATTCATTTTGACCAATCATACTTTAGTCTCAATGTTTTAAAGATAAGTCAATCAGTAATTAGTGTTCACAGCTCAACATTGAAATTTTGAGCCTTCAAATCCATGTGTCCAGAATTTTCCACATTTGACGTCATTTTAAGATACTACCCAAAATTGGGCACCTGTCCTTTTGCACTGGGAACAACACATGATAATCTCCAAATTTTGTTTCAGGTACGTGTCATTGTTTTTTGGTCTCTTGAGGATCAGAATAAGAATAATATTTGGTGTGTTGAAATACCAGTCAAGATTGTTGACAGCTAAAGATGGTGGTTTTTTTGCAAAGAATCTAAGCTTGGCATACTATTATATCTATAGCATTTGGGTCTTCGTATTAAAATTTTTGAATATTTTTTACCTGTATCACCTTTCAATATTCAAGGTTTGTGTTTTGAAAGGTGATACAAAAAAATAAAGAAGCTCCATTAATACTGTAATAAAAGGACTCATTTCATTTTGGGAAAACATTTTTGCTTAATAAATTTAGGCTGTATTTTAAATCAAAATTATTCTGTATATGAAATATTTTGTTTTGAAAAATGTTATGTCCCATTGCACCTGTTTAAGAACATTACTTTTGGAAAATGATAATGGTAGAATGCTGAGATTGCTGTTTGGTTGATGTCAACTTTTTAAACCAATTATTTACCTTTAGAAATGAAATTATGCTTTTATTTATTTGAATCCACATAACCCGAGTCAACACCATTATGCAAAGTTTGATCTGAAAACCGGTGAAATGTGTTCTTAGTCCGAAATTCTTTTTAATTAATTTATTTCTGTTTTTTTACTGTTTAATTCTTTGTACACTGTATTTACTCTTTATTTTGTACAAATTTTACAAATTCCTAATTAGTTACACTTTGAGCATTATTTTTCATCGATTTCATTGCTGTTTCATTCAGGAGGTTTGCAATATTCACTGGTAAAAGGAGTTAAAACCTTTTTTAATGCCCTTGTATGTGTGTCAAAGGATGCCATTTTTATTTCCACTTTGATGTCAATAGCTCCTGTATTTATTAGAAAAAGGTTGATGGCTCAGTTATCAATACTTCAATGAAATATTTTGATTTCATATTCTGGTCATATTTGCAGACTTTCAAGAATTATTAAGGATTGATAGGAATTGATGGTGCTAATAGTATCCTGGACACATTCAACCAATAGAAAACTTTCTTAATTTTTTTCAACCCCAAGGATATTTACTATAGTCTAAGATGTTATAATAATAATCTTAGTTGAATATTTCTTTTATTTTTGTTAATGAACTTGCTGTTAAGTAGTAATATTTCTTTGTTTCAATAGATTTTCATTTCCAGGATGGTTAATGTATTATGAATTATTTCTTACAATTCGAGATCCTACATGGTAGTATATCTAAAAATTTTAGGACTGACATACATTAATCATTGAGGAATTATGGCCCATTTTTATGCTGAACTTCAAATGACTGTGAACTGGTCAGAATAATTGTAATTAATAAACGTCTCAATCTCAAAGATTTATGTAATAAATTGGTGCCTTTGTACAATACTCTTATTTCCATCATTACAGCTGAATAAATTTATATTTTTTTCTTGTATGCCTTTTGCTTCAATTAGGAACAGCATTTCATAGAGATGGAAATATGAAGCTTGGTTGAAGCAAGCTGCTAGATACCTTGGGTTGTCTCCCAGTTGAGTTTTGTACGAATCTTTTCTTGATTGTAACATTACGAAAGTTTGGTATTCTATTGGAAGGAAAACGGTTGTGCCACTGGAATGCTTCTTTATCATATACCCGATATAGAATGCAATTGTAACGTAAATGCTGGAATAATAGGAAGAACGAGGGTTTTTTGATCACATGCATAAACGATCTGAAAATAGCCTTAAAGGTATTGTAAAGAGGTTGTCTTAAAAAAAATAATCAATTTGCATTATTCCAATTATCAATCAGACGTCTGTGCTTCCTACAATCCCACTAAAACTACAGTGGCCTTGTGTGATTCAAGCTTTTTTGCGATTAGTGACTTTATCAAGCCAATTTGTTATCTCTTTAAAGGATCTTCAGGAAAGAAGACTTTTCCAACATGAAAATCATACCTGACGTACATCTAGATTAAAATATAGTCGAGAATCCAAGCTTTTTGATTATATGAACGATCATTCCAATTCTATAAATTATCCAAAATAGCTAGACATGGCAGTTTTGGGTAAGGACGACTTTCCCAACTACATGGTTTGAGAATCAATTAAATAGTTAACTTTTACAAATTTTAATCTAACTAAATCTTGTCATTCAATAACTGGACAGTTCCCTTTCCTTATTATGCTGCACAATGAAGTGTAGATAAGAGGCCGATATTGATTGACTGTCCAACTTGCTTTCCATTAGAATCTTTACACCAGCAAACCGATCCAACACATTGGTAGTTTCTGTAGTTACCATTTGGTCCACAATAAAATAGTTTACCTATTAAACCAGTCTTAGCATAGGTATCTTGATCTCTAGCACATTCTGAAAAAAATATGATTGGAAAAGTTGTAGGAATGTATGACAGAGATTGACCATTTTGTATGTGTATCAACGACAATCGTATCACCATTTTGATTTCTTGTTTGATCGTCTGTTTGAAGACGACATGAGAAACTCGTCGAGACGTTGCATTAAAGTTTAACCGGTTTCCATAAAGCTGTGTCTCTATACAATGGTAGTCTTGTATTGGTATTGGTGAAAAATACATGCATTCGCCGAAAAGGTTATCGAAATGACATGAGATATAAACACAACTTACTGCAGTCCATTCCTTGTGTCAGTCCTCTGTTAACTGGGTAACCCAAATTTTTACCACCAGCCGATGTACAATGACATCTAAAAAAAGAGGAACAATATAATACATGAAATCGAAAACTGAAAGTTGTAGCCTATTCTACATGTGATATGCATGATAATAAATAATGCATCAGCATCAAAAGCATCGAAGAAAATTCAAAGGGAAAGATTCTACATTGAGCCTCCAATTATTGTACCCCCGCTTTATTCTTTAACAAAATTTGTGTCTGAATGTACTAGATCAATTCAATGTTTCGAAAATTTTGTTGGAAAAGAACTTTCTCAGATGCTCCATGAGAGATATCACAGAGTTGCCGAAATTTGAATTCAGCCTCGTTTGTCCTCCCATTGAGTTAGCCTGTTATTTGTACCCGCAGTCTCTGGAGATTTATGTCGCGCCACTGGTTGAGCCATGCAAACGGTGATGACTATGGTGTGAGGGCACCTTTATGGATTTGAAGATGATCGGCACTTACTGTGATCCAATACATTGAACGGCGGAGTAAGTTCCATCGCTATCACATTTTGGTTCTTCTGCGCCTAACAAAATACCGCCATTTTGTTTTTGATCTAAAAAGACCTTTCGGGCATCGGCACAGGAAGCTGTAATAATTAAATAAAATAAAAGTTCAAAATAGTAACTGGCCGTAGGTACACATTCATGTAGAAATAACGGTATTATCGGCTTGCTGAAACCATGACGGGATCCCTTCCCCGGAATCTAACAACCTTTCTATATCAAGATGGTTCATTTGACGACCAATACAATGTATTATTTGGAAAATGATAGATGAATGTTAAGTTAAGGAAACGTATCAGCGATAAAGAAAGCCTTTTAAAATCGTATCAAGATAATTCTTACGGAAATCGTCTTCTCTCTTGGCTTGTGTTTTAACACAAGTGAATGAGGATTTATCACAAGTTAATCCTGGTCCACATTCTGCATTGTTTGGTATTCCAATGAAGGCTGTCTGTAAACAGGATTCTTTCTCAGCTAGAATATAAATTGACATTTGTTTAGTTGTTTTGAAATGGTAGGAAATTTGTTAATGAAATCTGATTTGTTTAGATATATCCTTTATCTTGTCTGTCTACTTATTTCATCTCTTTCTGTAATTTCAGGTGCTTCTTTCCAAATGGTAAAAACCAAAATGTTTAATCCCACTCTTGTCGGTTCCTGCAGAAGGTCATAGCAAAACTTAAAATATGCGTAAAAAACGGTATACACTGGCTTATTGCGGTGTTACGTAAAATTTATCTCCCTTTGCTTTGCCTGATCTTTGAGGTTGTTGTACGGGCAAAAGAATTTAATTTCCTTAGATCATAAGAAAAACTATCTGAACTAATCATTCCGAGCGAAATGAAAAACTGAACAGTGGCAACTGTGGGTAAAGACGACAAATAATGGTACCCTATTTGGTAGCTTCCAATATCCCCCAGGAGACCAATGATTTGCCAGGTTGGGAACCAAGATGTTACAACAGAAGATCTTGTGAGATCACCACATTTTGGAATTCGTGCATAGTAATCTCCCTATGATCTTTCAAAATCTCCACTATGGTCAAGCAATATCTAACGCCATCACTTCAATGGCAAATTAGGGTGCCATTTGGATTTGTTAACCCACGTTCCTACGAACGAGTACATTAATCACATCTTGTTGAAGAGAGATTTACCTAATTGCGTGATACAAACTGGACAACATCCACAAAATCCTCCATTATTTTCTACTCTTCCATTACAATTTAAAGCGCTCACACAGCTGACTGCAGCACATATTCCTGGTGTGCATTGAATGGCTTCACTGGCACCCCAAGCCGCAGCAAATATTAATAATAAAACCTTCATGATAACTCTTCTTTAATGTCTATTACTAATCCCCTATATCTCTTTCTTTTATACCTGATATTGGATTTCTGTCAGCTGTTTGTCGTTATCTAATCTCGTACATTTAAGACAAACATAAGAAAAACAAGTTAGTCATTGCCAACGGACCTAATTCTCTAACGGTTACTGTATACGTCATTCTGATTGGTTGCTACCAGAGACTCAAACCAATAAGAGTCTTTAACCACTAAACTGTATTCTCAAGTGGTCAAATACACACCCTTTACAAAATTTTCGTCGCGCATCGTAGTTTTAAAGGCATACTAATAATTATTGGAGATTGCACAATATTCATCGAAAACGTTCCTAAAATAGAAAATTACTGGAATTCGGTGAGAAAAACACTTGATGACTTCCAAGGTAAATAAGTTCCAATTTTCTGAGCAATGAGTGCAAAAATAAAATGCTACTGAAAACGTCTCCGAAGAGTAAGAAGTATTGTTGCTTCGTGACATTATATTTAATTCATAATATAGCTAGTTCGCGTAAGGTAGTTTAATTGGCGATTTTATGCGGACGGGAGCCGGACTTGGCCCTATTTTTTTTTAAGCTGAAGAGAGAATTGTCTTCATCAAATGTGAAACCACCAAGATCATTAAATGGTAAACTATCAAGCTCATTAATTGTTAAACCACCAAGAACATTTAATGGAAGATAAACTACCAAGATAATTAAGTGTTAAACCACTAATATCATTAAATGGTAAACTACCAAGATCATTAAATGGCAAATTGCCAAGATCATTAAATGGTAAACTACCAAGATCATTAAATGGTAAACTACCAAGATCATTAAATGGTAAACTACCAAGATCATTTAATGGTAAACTACCAAGATCATTAAATGTTAAACTACCAAGATCATTTAATTTTAAACTACCAAGATCATTTAATGGTAAATACCAAGATCATTAAATGGTAAACTACCAAGATCATTAAATGGTAAACTATCAAGATCATTAAATAGTAAACTACCAAGGTCATTAAATGGCAAATTGCCAAGATCATTAAATGGTAAACTACCAAGATCATTAAATGTTAAACCACCAAGATCATTAAATGTTCAACTACCAAGATCAATTAATGGTAAACTACCAAGACCATTTAATGCTAAACTAACCAGATCATTAAATGGCAAACATCCTAGATCATTAAATGGTAAACTACCAAGATCATTAAATGGTAAACTACTTAGATCATTGAATGGTAAACCACTAAGATCATTTAAAATAACCAAAATAATCACCAAATAACCAAGATCATTAAATTACAAACTATCCAGATCATTTAAAGGCAAACAATGTATACAAACACAGGTGATTACTTTGGTCTAAGATCACTACTTCACTAGTGAAATTACTTGACTATTCTCCTTTAAGGTCATTAAACTATCATTTAATATTTTCTGTCCACATAACGAATTTATACACCGGTTTTGGTAATATGATATATATATTTAAGTATCCTATTCAGTTATTTCGCAAAGAAAATAAGCCGCAAATAACCCCACAGAGTAGTTTAGTTATCGATCATACGACAACTCTTTGCGGCAGGTGCACTCCCACTTACAGAGCGCCCAGGAAATTTTTATGGTGGACCGTTTGCAAACTTCGACGATTTGATATGACAAACAGCAAGCTCTGTATTAATATTTGTTAGCTTCTGAAGCGTCTTCTTCAACTTGAAGTTATGCTATTTTTTCTCGGTCATTTCATAGTAATTGGAAATGCCTATTTATAGTAGCTTAACATAAGTGCATGCAAAACAATGTGATTTCAAAATGACAGCTAAGCATTATACGCCGAGACGCTTTGTGTCAATTTGAAGTACCTGTATTTCTATTAATATGCCGAATGAAATAACCCTATACAAATAAAGTCATATACTTTGCGTACATTATTATTAAACATAAAACGAATTATTTCTTAAATTGTTTAGTAATTATATTTACACAGGATTTCTTTTTCAAATATAATATGTTTACTTTTGAATATAATACTAATCCATTCGAACTCGGCAAAACGTGAATCCATTAATCTGCAGTTTAAAATCGCTTATATGATCAAATGTACACGACCAAAATGATGATAAAAAACAATCTAACCATAGAAAAATGTCATGGCTCCCAGCAGTGGCGGCGCCAACTCCCCGGGGGGAGGCAGACTCTACGGGAGACAACTGTCGGGACTGAATTCAAAATGCAGCAAATCTGTGGAGCGTGTGACAGGGGTCTCACAAGAAATTTTCGAAAATGTTTAAAATAAAATGGGGGAACAGTAGCTAAGACCTTGAACTGACTACTTTTTTTATCATCGAAAGTGAAATGCAATTTTCGGCTTGTCTTTTAAATAGTTGCCTGAGGCGGTGAATGCATTTTGTGATTCTCTGAGATCTCTCTTCCAAAATCAGTCACGGTGCAAGATCTTAACTCATGTAAATTTTAATTGATATAGTATTATTCAGACCTAGTTGGGGTACGAATAAGAAGCAAACTAACTCTATGGGGGTCCAACAGTTATCTGATAATCTAATAAAACCAAACAAACGACTACAATACGACTACCAATCAACACGAATTACTATCATCAGAACGAATTTGAATCCATGTTTCACCGCCATGTCATTCGACCCGACCAGATCTAACGAAGTATCAACAACCACACCAACAACACAGCATCATCAAATTTAAACCAATCGAACTACCAACTACTACAACTTCCAACAACGACCTAGTTTGCGATATCAGCATCCACTGGACACGGACGTTAACTTGTCATCTACCAACCAACTCTATGGGAGACAACTGTCGAGGCTGAATTCAAAATGCGATAACTGGAAAGGGGCTTCAAAGAAAATTTTCGAATTTTTTTTTTTAAATGCAAACCGCAAAACGTATTAACAACATATGTTTAAAATCTGTTACAAATAAAGTGGGGGGGGGGGGCATCCATGTTAGATATTTTGATGTAGCTAAGACCTTGAACTGACTACTTTTTTGCAATTCTCGGCTTGTCTTTTAAATAGTTGCCTGAGGTGGTGAATGTATTTTGTGATGCATTGAGATGACTCTCTTCCAAAATCAGTCATTGGAATCACGAGATCTAATCTTATGCAATTTTTAATTGGTATAGTCGTATTCAAACCCGGTTGGGACTAGATTTTGTGATCATATGTTACGGTGCATTGCACCTAGCGAACTTGGACGCGAATCATTTTCTTTTTCGATGAATGGTTTTTGATGAATTTGTGAATGCAAAATGGTAGTGTAAGTCCAGATTTACCTCTAAAGAGTATCAATTAATGTCCAACTATATAAACCACCGTGGTCAACAGTCGTAAAAGAGTACATTTTGAAAATGTGGAACACAGCTTGTGTATCGAAATAAATAAAATCCTAGGGCTATGGTGTTCTATTTTGATTCATATTATTTTATATCTGATTCATAATAAACATTACAATAATTTTAGTGTCCTACTTTGTGGTCACCTTCCTTAAGTTGAGTTTCCGCTTGAAGAGAATCTATTTTGCCGTCAGCTTCAAATTTATCTACATAATCTGTTATTTTAAACTTTTACAAAAGCAATTTAAAGGGTACAGGGGCGCTGATCGGGATTGGGGTTGATATATATTCATACCCTCCCTTCCGCGAATCACATTATGTCAGTTACAAGGCTTCATGTAACCTTTATGTTCGTTTGAACCTTGTTTGTAACACCAGAAAGGCGTCCTTTCTGAGTTTATACGGAGACAGAAAAATAGCTCAGAGCATATTATGGTCGCCATGAACGTGGTATAAATGTGAAGGATGCGTCAGATACAAAGCAATAACACCCCTTTTGGACCGCAAATGTACTTCGGTTCTCTTGATTTCTATTCGAATAACTTCCAGTTGCTTTCGCAATGGCAAATAAATTTATTCAGTTATAACCAGAAGTTATCCAGATAGAAAAATCTACCTACATCACGTATAAAATGGCGTCTCCTGTTGATGGGACTGCTTAAAAATCACAAGAAGGGGATTAATAAAGTACACGAATATGCATCGGAAGAGGAAACGGAAAATTACACGTATATTGTTGTCAAATTCATATTTTATAATGATCAGCATTGTAGTTCTATTCCGGCAACTGTGACACGGCACGTTACTAAAAATAAAAACCTAGATGACTTTTCTCGGCAGTTCGAAAGCGACTTTCAAGATAGGATTGCAGTGTGGCAGCAAACCGAACGCAATCGAATTGGTTATAACCGAATTCAATAATCCAGTTGTTGTGCAGAGCGAAAGAGGTATATCCGACGTTGCAATCGCCACGGAATCGAAAGTCTCTTTCGACAAGAATCCTTGCAAAAATATCCTTCACCCAACATGACATTGACGGTCTTCATTAGCCCAATAAGGTGGATAAATATAGGATGTAAAACTCCATGCATGTTATGTCAAGATATTTCACTCTTCGTGGGTTTTTGTTATCAATTCGATCATATTATTGATGAAAAAGGGTATTGAGTTCAATATCCGGCAATAAAGTTTTGATTGCCTCAAAATCTTTGAACCATATCCAACACTCAATCCAACCAATCAGAGTTTTTGGGCGACCGGATATGCGTGACCTCGAACTACTTTTGCTTCTATAAAAATGCAAATTCAGACCGATTTGGCTCAGAATCCTATTCAGATCAGATTGCTACAGTTTGATTGCTCTCCAATTCAAGATGTTCAAGGCAGTTTTCGTAAGTCAAATTTTATTTCGATTTTTTTCGGGTTACTTTTATTTCTTTAATTTCGATTTTTGTAATTTTTTGTTTATAAAATGGTTAATTTTAGGGAAAAACACATAAATTTTGGGCAAATTCTCTCTGTTAAACTCATATTGCGATTGAATTCCTCGCAGTAAATTTGTGGGAAGGGGGCAAGATTAAAATCAAAATTTACGTATTATGAAGTTTTTATACGCCCACACGTAAGATGGGCGTATATTGTACCGTCCGTCTGTTCACATTTGGCTCGTGCTCACTCTACAGGCTACAGTTCTTTATGGATTCTTTTGATTTTTATTTTGTATGTCAATGTTGTTATGAAGATGATGCCTATTGATTTTCGTGATGATCGGATAATTTTTCATCGAAATATCGTGTCTGACTTGACGTTTTTCTCTATTAGCTATATTGTGCAACTCGTGCTCACTCTACAGGCTACAATTCTTTACAGATTCTTTTGATTTTTATTTTGTGTGTCAATGTCATTATGAAGATGATTCCTATTGATTTTCGTGATGATCGGATAATTTTTCACCGAAATATCGTGTCTGACTTGACGTTTCACTCTATTAGCTATATTGTGCAACCCTGTAGTCACTAAAGACTGTTTAATCATTTCTGTCAGCTGCCAGTGGGCGTATGTTAACTTGCCTGGCAAGCTATCTTTTAACGTTTTTAACTTCCGTCATTTTCAAAAGCATCTATCGATATTGATACGCTCCTTTCCTTTGCTTTCTTCACCTATTTCGTGGTTGATCACCAGAACAATCAACACCATGCTCAACATTTTCTCCGTAGAGTTCACATTTTTTAATTGCATTGTACATTTCTCACACCTGACAGATATTAACGCAGCATACTATTTTAACCATAAAGCAATCTGAAAAAGGCAAATGAGTAATGTTTGAAGATCTACGCTTGATAACAGCAACAATACCCTTCCATCGCTCTTATATACATGTACATTATTATCATTATTACTATTCACTCTAAGGCCATCATTTACAGATATGTGCAGAAGAGCAGGACGTAAAACTCCATTTATTTCATTTTATCTTATTTACAGGTATTAGCTTTGTGTGTTATTGTGAAAGCTCAAAATGGCGAGAGGGCAGAAACCAATGTTCAAGGACATAATGTTGATCAAAAGAAAATCCTTGCCTTATTTGAAACGTAACTTATTTTTTTGTATTATTAGGTAGAATATTATATAGTAATGCAAATGCCTCGAATATTCAAAATGACCCCGTTTAAAGGGCCCTACTGCCTCTAAGGATAATCAAAAAATTGAAAATTTTAAACTTCGAGTCTTTGTTAATCAGTGGACTTTACTGGTTTCATAACAGAATCTCTCCAAAAGTATATAAATTCATAAAAGTAATCAGTAATAATTCATAGAATTCAAAGAATGCTTAGAAGCGTTTTGTAATAATTACTTTATGTTTAATGGATGTGTTGTCTTAAATAGAGATTCTATTCTTTAGTCATGGCACCTGGTAAGTCTTACTGGCTTGCTGACTTTACATTTTGTGTCCATTCTAAGCCGTAGTATCCTTTAAAAGCTATATAGAGAAACCTTGCTGTCGTTATATGAATTATTCTGTGTCAGAATGTAGTCTAGGCGACGATTCGTTTCATTAATTTTTTGTGAAAATGAGCACTTGCAATTTTATTCACGCGGACGCTACTCAGCTCGTAGACGCTATTCAAATATCAAAATCAATGCAATAACTTTCCATATTATCATATCATTTTATCAAAGAAAAATTCCCTTTGGCTGAATTCACCCAAACGTCTATAAAATTTTGAGTTTTGATATGACCATAAACTGTCTTACAGGCTGAGTACGTTAAAGATCCTTCGCGGATGGAAATTGAATAATTAGTAGGCTAATGCTATTTTCCTGGCAAAGTTTCGCTCGTTGCATACTGCATTACGACTCATTCACGTACAAAAAAGCGTATAAGTTCATTTTCTATTTTAGGTCAGAACTAAGCAAAGAATCTCGTAATTCACAGAAGAGTTTTATTGCACCATTAAGCAAGTAAGTCATCTATTGATTACTCGTATATTGTCTGTTGCGTTAACGAGAGGTAAAAGTCCAGGTGTGTCGTAACTTGGTCAACGGAAATTTATTCACAGCATGTTGGTCACGTTACGCTGACCACTCGGAAAACTAGTCAATAGTAAGTAAGTCATATGGCAAATTGTTCCTGTGACCAAATTTTTAAGTGACCACTCTATTGTAAATTATTATGGGTGACCAAGTTACCTAGATCTAGTTTAGTACTTTTTTGTATCAGATGTCCGGTATTATAATATAAAGGCGAGGAAAAATACTTGTGCACGCAAGGATCGACCCGATATACATTTCAGGTGGGAGTAGCTAGCCCAGGCAAATCTTTTTAAGGGGACTCAACAAGTCATTTAAGTCGTAAAAAATTTTCAGGGAGGGTAATATTCTTAAATTTTGTTACAAATGCGCCCCTCCCCCCTATGTACCCTTGCAGGCGCCGCCCCTGAATAAAACACAATTTACATGCACGTCCAGATGCCATGAATCGACCTGATCCCACTTAACTAAACAAGTTGATCTTATATTTCATCAGGCCTGATTGCTGTCCATCTCGAAAAGAATTAGTTACCAATGTTCAACTAGGGAAGGAAGTTTGTGACGTCATTTTCCCTATAACCAAGCCTGCTTACAAGACAGTATGCCTGTAAGTAGTCGCATTTCCTTTTATTTTATGTTCTGTTAGGTTAGCGCGCTGTCTGTTTTAAAACGAAAATAATCAGTATGGTGGCAATGACAGTCTCTGGATACTGGTACCTTATAATGATAAAAAAAATTTGTAATAGTACGATGTCTGTCGTACCAAGCTCACTTTAAACAGTAGTAAGTGTGGGCTCTCGAACGAAAAAAGTGTAGAAAAGGTCCACCATGACTTAAAATCAATTTTCACATGCACTGGAAAATCAAGCTGATTAATCTATACACTTATTTACCAAGTTTGAGACTTAAATTCGTATATCCGTTCTAGGAGGTAGTATCATTTTAAACTAAACAAAAGTGGACTGCCTGCGTTTTGAATCATCACAGATGCGTATCTTAGTCAAAATCATAAAGGTAGATGTTATAAATTAATTGTTTTCGGTTTCAGGTGTGACAAGTGTGCAAAACACTGCAACACCAAACCATGGTACGGATGTAGAGTAGCCAAATGGTCGCTTGTGAAGCTATATGTATGCTGTGACGTGTCCCAAATTTGTAAAATTGTTAAGATTGGTGTGCCCACTGGAAATTGTGATTGCATGGCACAATTTTTTCCTGTTCCTGATCCAATTGGTGTCCCAGTTAAGGGTAAATAGAAGCTAATCTCTAATGGTATGATGCAAACATTGGATGACCCGTAATATTTGTTAACCTTCATTTTTCGCTAACAATTGAAATGTGAATCGTACCACTAGCTTAATAAAATTATAAAAAATCCATCTTGTTGTCCTTAATCCATCAATCTTAAATATTAGATTCAAACAGTATCGGCTATTTAAAAACGGGAAAAATGCTTGTTCTTATCCTGAAGTCCTTAGCACCCACGACAGATTTGGCTAAGCCATGGTGCTGACATCTTCACAGTGTCAAGCTATTACGAACTTCGTCTTATTCCTTGACTACAATTGCCATTATTGATCTAGTGGCCTAGCCAGGATTTCATTGACGGGTCTGCCTTTTGATGTTAAAGGGTACTAATGAATGTGGTGGGTTTGGTAGGCCTCTCCCTGGAAAAATGTTAAAATCTAGGACGGCAGAGAATGCCTCTAATGTGATTTTGGCAGTGAAAGTTGGAACTTTGCATTTTTTTTATGTCCCGAAGGGAGGGGGGGGGGGATTGCACTTGCCCCACCCCGCCCTTAAATACGCCTCTTGATTGATCCATGGACTATTTACTGTGTTTTATCCAACAAAGAAGGCATCTGGTCACATTATTATATTGAACCCAAGTTGTTTTGGGGTGATATCAAGGGAGGTAACTTCAAACAGACAAAAATTTATAGGGTTTATTCCATCATTAATCCCTTGGATTACCTTTTGGGGGATTGGATGAAATTTTGTTCACTACTTAAGTCGAGCAATAATGTATTTGTACATCCAAGTTATAACAAAACATGAGCTGAAATATTGGCAGTATAATCACTGAAAAATTGACAGTATCATCACTGAAATATTGATGAAATGATCACTGAAATATTGATAGTATAATCACTGAAATATTGACAATATAGTCACTGCAATATTGACAATATCATCACTGAAATATTGACTATATCATCACTGAAATATTGACAGTATAATCACTGAAATATTGACAATATCATCACTGAAATATTGATAAAATGATCACTGAAATATTGATAATATCATCACTGAAATATTGACAGTATAATCACTGAAATATTGACTATGTCATCACTGAAATATTGACAGTATAATCACTGAAATATTGACAGTATAATCACTGAAATATTGATAAAATGATCACTGAAATATTGACGATATAATCATTGACATATTGACAATATCATCACTGAAATATTGATGAAATGATCACTGAAATATTGATAGTATAATCACTGAAATATTGACGATATAGTCACTGCAATATTGACAATATCATCACTGAAATATTGACTATATCATCACTGAAATATTGACAGTATAATCACTGAAATATTGACAATATCATCACTGAAATATTGATAAAATGATCACTGAAATATTGATAATATCATCACTGAAATATTGACAGTATAATCACTGAAATATTGACAGTATAATCACTGAAATATTGATAAAATAATCACTGAAATATTGACGATATAATCATTGACATATTGACAATATCATCACTGAAATATTGATAATATAATCACTGAAATATTGACAATATAATCACTGAAATATTGATAATATAATCACTGAAATATTGATAATATCATCACTGAAATATTGATAATATAATCACTGACATATTGATAATATCATCACTGAAATATTGACAATATCATCACTGAAATATTGATAATATAATCACGGAAATATTGATAATATAATCACTGAAATATTGATAATATAATCACTGAAATAATGATAATATAATCACTGAAATATTGATAATATAACACTGAAATATTGATAATATAATCACTGAAATATTGATATTATAATCACTGAAATATTGATAATATCATCACTGAAATATTGATAATATAATCACTGAAATATGAACTAACTATCATTTAAATAAATGTAATCTCTCTCTTCTAATTTATCACGATAATAATTATCAAATTCTTCTGCTTCTGATGGCAAGAAATGATTCTTCCAATCACCAGTTTTGCCTGAAATCATAAATTAGATTATGGGGTTCACTTTTATTCAGATTGGCCAATGACCAGAGTCAAATTAAAGGCTTTTAAGCAAAATCTAACATGGTACTGTCTTAAAGATGTTCAGACGTGTGAATAGATCCTGTCTTTATCAGTAAAGGTCGACAAGTTGAGACTATCCAATTTTAAATGAAAAGTCACAATTTGGCTAATTTCACAAGTTCACTCATTGCATATTGAGTCTTCATTATAATAAAGAGCATTGAAAAACAACGAGGAGTATAAATCGATATTAATTTCCAATTTTAAATTAAAAATTGGCTGATGGTGTCGCCTGGTAGAAGTTTACTCATTATGACGTTCTGAGTCTTCCATGTTCTAATTAGATGCAGAAAAAAGTGCGACATATTATGTAAATCAATAACGATTTCAAATATCGGATAAGAGCAATATATTTTGGACTATTTGACTGTAGTTCTTTATAAATTATATAAATTATACCTTTACGATACATGATCTCCTTTTCACCTTTAAAATGTGGCAATGAAGGGTTGTGTAAAGACTCTTTGTAGGTCTTCATCTGATCAAAATGAGTATTAACAGCTATTTCTTCATACAGTTTATCTGAATATTCCTTTCCTATGAACGTAGCTAATTTCTTGATTCCCTTTACTGGATTCTGAAACAGGCAGAATACTTGCAACGAACAAAGGTCCAATGTTCTACAGGCTGTCCCACATACTCTATCGAGAGGTCCCGTAGTACAGTCGATTAGAGAGTTGGAATCAATACATGACGTCATATACGGCTTTGGGTTACGTGAAACAAATGGTGGTAGAGGGTACTAATCTAGGTCGTTATGTGAAAGCCTTGTGAATTTGAAAAAGTCACATTCTCGCATTATTCCACGAATACCTCGGGAAAGATCTATACCGAGGGATTTGGCCAAGGACCAGCCTGGTAACTAGATCTTATTGAACGTAAGTTATAATTTTTGTAAAGAATGTTTTTTTTTCCTGTTGGAAATCGAACAAGAGCGAAAAGAAAATTGGAACGCATAACCCTATTTAACTTTCAAAGTAAATTTGATAATTCGGACAAACGGGATATTAATATATTATGGTTGCTGCCTGCTGTCAATTTTCAGATTGATAATTAGAAATGTTCAGGAAAAATTAAGACTTCATTATGGGATATTGGTATCAGACAACGACAGTTAAACTTACAGCTACTAAATCTTCATAACGTATAGTCAATATAGGATAGTCAGGATTTGATAGTTTAGACTCTTTCCACTTGAGGAAATGTCCATCCCATCCTCCAAATGGCACTGGAATAGAAGTCTGAAATAAGTAACACTGACGTCATGAAATAGCGATTGATATTATATAGATATTATAAAATATCTATCAATTGGACTTTACCCATACTTTTTTTTAACCTTATCATCATGACAATTGTTTCAAGACCTTTATGGTTTTAATGTTCTACACAATGATGCATCTTTATCATCATCATCATCATCATCATCATCACCAGAAGTTTCAAATGATAATTTGTCGTGAATACTGAAGCGGATAAAATCTCTTGAATAAAGACTAAAGCTTAAACTTACCTTCACCTTTCATATATATGGGAATAAAATTAGGAAATTTGCCATCGTAAGATACGGATTTAGTCTTAATTAAGTGGTGAAAATAAGAAACGCAAGCATCTTTAGGATTGCGCACTACCTGAACCAATTTACATTTTTTATGGATCATATCTACTGGTAGCTCGTCAAAATACCTATGGGTACACATCGTGCGTGGAGATAGTATTTCCGCCACCTTTTCGACGGAAAGAAAATCCATGTGATTTAGTTCCATAACATTTGGAATTGGTTCACTATTTCCTTTCTGTAGCATACTCACGATCTCATACACATAATGGCTTCCTGTAAATGAAATGAATTAAAATGAAAAATCAAATTGCCCCTACTACAACAATATGCATTTTCAGATGATTTGTGGCTTAAGAATATATGTAAATAATTTTCAGAATTACTAGGATTGTACTAAAATACAATAAACCCTTCAATGCCTCTCTCAACATATAAACAATCAAGTCTGGTTATTGGCCTGCCCTGCTTGTTGACACGGACTACATTGGGAAATACGACGTACACATGTTCTGGTTGAATAACCTATAACTAAATTTAATCTTAAGTAGCCGATATCTTTACTCAAAAAAGATCAAGCTGACCTTCTCCTACCCGACGTAGCACAGCTAGTAACTGGGGCATCATCCTCTTTCATAAACGTTCAACTAAATCGAATATGAAGTAGGCCCATATCTATACTCATAAAAGGACAAGCTGACTTTCTCTTACCTGACTTTGCATAGCAAGTAACTAAGACATCGTCCTTTTTTCCTTCCACTGCTTTCAAACCATCCCATTTAGCTTTAGACACGGCGTTAATTAATATACGGTCATTAATTTTCTTTAAACTTAGAGTATCTCCACCCGCATCTTGGACTATGTACGGTCTTTCCTCCTCTGTATGATCGTCTTTCTACAATTACAAATGGGTTGAGATTTATTTCCATATTACTTTTTGTTATAACGCAAAATAACACCCCGTTTTGGCTCTGTACCGTGTGGGGGTTTGAGGTGTCGTACCTACGAATATGTACGTTCTTCACATTATTTTGAAAATTTTGAGATGTCAGACGTTATTTCGTGTACAGATAAAAATGTAATTTACCCAATTTCTTGTAAAAAAAAAATGCGTAATTCAATATGTTGGTGAAACCCAAAATGCGTTGGGTACTCATTTTAGCGACCATCGTTTCGATATACTTCAATGAGTAGAGCAGTATAGGACGTAAAACTCCTTCCATTTCGTTTCAAGAAAGGTTAACCAATCAAGAATCATTTCAACTTACAATCATTTCATTGAGGAAATATTATAAATTAAAAGTTATTAAAATGGATACAAATTAAAATTAAAATAATATAAATGAATATATTATAGTAATTATAGTGAACTCAGTTATGCCTAGTTTAAGTGTTAAATATTATGCAGATAGTAGGCCTATATATGAAAAAGTCGAATTAATGTCCTGAGCATATTGGATTCGATTATTTCCTTTTGCTTTTGGACTCATTCACTATCTGAAACAATTGCTTAATGTGTTTTAGATTTTTGGTATTATTTGTAAACAGTGTATAATTTCAGTCTTTCTTTATGTACATTGTTTTAATATCTCTTTGCACACAGTGAAGAACATTTATAGTACCATTTCAATGTAATCTTATTACTAAAATTGATATATACAAAGTATGATCTCTTCTTGTGACCGTGGCAAATGCTTCTATAACACCCAAAAACCAATTGGCCAACTGTACCAGAGAATCATAACAGAGTTCATAACTTACTCTCAAAGGGCATGCAAACAGAAGTTTTTGATGATATTGTTGGACTTAAGAAAATTTACGTAAACTTTTTAAATAGTTTTAAATTCGAGAAAAGTTCAACACAGGATCAAAGAAACTTATCTTCTGCGTAGGCGGGATACAATGTGACACAACTGTGCACACATTTTGACATATTATTAGAATATCTAGCATAGATTTTCGATGTATTATCAGAAAACAATACGTTCACATACTTACATTTTGCATGGCGGATTAGGAAGTCGTAGTAATGTCGGATTTGTAAAACGTATCAATGCAGGATTTGAAAGTCTTATTAAGGTGCTTCACCTCCGATTCAAAATCACAAGTAATACAATCACAAAGCATTAGTGTATAAATATCGTACTTTGATATTATTCTATTTCTAGTCCTCAAACTAAATCCTGATTGGTCAATTCGTTCTGTGACGTGGCAACTATAAAGGAATACTGTCTCTCACAAAGAACAAAACAATTAGATTATCAAACTTCGCCAATAAGAGTATATTCATCAGCGGATTTACCTGGTATCACAGATTACCACAAAAATCAGACAAATCCATAAAACTTGTACAAAAATTACTTTACATTACATTTTACATTTTCAATAAAAGGGAGATAAATGTGGGTATCAGTGGCCTCAATATTGACCATTTCATAAGAGATATATGAGCATCGGTGACCTCAAATTGACAATTTCATAAAAGAGATATATGGGCATCGGTGACCTCAGTTTGACCATTTCATAAGAGATATGTTAGAATCGGTGACCCCAATAATGCCCATTTCAAAACGGAAATATATGAGCATCAGTGACCTCAACATTAACCATTTCATAAGAGAGATATATGAGCATCGGTGACCTCAGTTTGTCCATTTCATACGAGATATGTGAGAATCAGTGACCTCAATATTTCATATTTCATTTCATAAGAGAGAGATATGAGCATCGGTGACCTCAGTTTAGCCATTTCGTGCGAGAGATAAGAGATATGTGAGAATCAGTGACCCCAATATTGGCCATATCATAAGTGAGATAGGTGAGAATCGGTGACCATTTCATAAGAGAGATATATGAGCATCGGTGACCCCAATATTGGCCATTTCATAAGAGTCAATTGCGTAAGTTTTTGTTTTACTTGTTATAATTTTTCACATCATTGTTAGCGTTATTTATCACCTAAATATATATTTTTTTTGCATTTTTCATCTTGCTTTATATATCCCCAAACCCAGTTTGACTTATTTGCATAATTTGATCCCAACATTTTCACGCTCCCTTCTAACCCCAAGTTATTTCATTATGCTCC